CTCGGAGGTCTTTTCCAACCGAGCAATTCTGATTCTTTGAAATACCTAAATCAGACAGGGCCTCTCCATGAGTGATACCATCTCAGTTTTCTTTAAAAGAAACGTTAAGTCCAAAATTCTATAGAATGTGGGATTTGAAGCAGAGCAGTTTTAATATAAAGCTGTGCTAGGAGAGACCATAGATAACAGCCATTTGAGAAAGGAAGAGAGAAGACAAATTGTGCCGGGGCAGGGGGGCGGTGGATCGTATTGAAAAAGCTATTTACTTCAGATGTGACAGGTTTTTACTGCATCATATTGAAATAAAAACTATAACTGGAACTAATTACAACTTATTCAAAGGTAAATGGTGTATTCTGAGGGTATGCACTTTCGCATGGTAAAATCCATTCATTGGAGAAACTAGATTAACTGCTGATATGGTTGTTTTATCCAGCTACAGCTTTTTTGCCCTTCAGTGCAATACAGGGGGAAGAAGTGAGTGTGCTGAGTTGTTTCTTAGAAGAATTAATTGTAAGTACCCTGATTACTCAGCTGGGAAAAGTTAGATGTTGGTAAGGTTATTCCCCATCTGCTATATGGTGTCTTAATAAAGCAGTGTAATAATTATGCAAACATTACTTGGTTTTGGATCATTTCTGATTGTTCGCAATGTTGCAATGTAAGACTGGCAAAAGCCTGGAAGATTAAGTGGGTGTGCTCCTAGATTCTGCAGTGCAGACTCCATGTTTTTAAAATATACGTGTCATTGTATAGTTACAGGATGCTGTGAGCTGAGGTTTGGTCTTCGCTGATTGATGCCTAATATGTAATGACTTGGAAAGAAAAGGACCAGGAAATTGATTAAACAGATATTTCCGAAGTAATACCATAAAAAACCTTAAGCTAAATTTATCTACTTTCTTTTTTTAGTTTAGGCTTAGTCTCGTCTTTCTTTGCTATTGCATTGAATATAAGGAAGCTAGCATTATGGTCATAGCTTTATCAGTTTTGCTCTGTAGCTGCTACTGTGGATTGCCACATCTAATTTGACCGGACTCTTCTGAGGTGTTTCTTGCAGATATGAGGAATAATACAATTATGAGCTGATAGTTCAGTGTCTTTCGCAGTATAGTGTGGGAAGAGAAAAAAGGATACTGCTAGATGAAAGAAAATCAATCATCAGGATGACACAGACTCTTTTACGCATTTGAAATTGTAGCTGTGCAGATACAGATGTCTTTTTTTTTCAGACTTTGTCTTACAGTTCCTGCATCATGTAATTCTCTCTTCCTCCATACTCACGAACTTTATGCTCTGTGTAGAAAAATGAAGAGATTTGCAGATGGGAACTCCAAATGGCTTTCTGTTTCTTTTTCCTGAGGTCATGCTGTCTTTCTTCCACTCTAAAATTGTAGAGGAAAAAGTTAACTTACAGCAGGTTATAATTAACAAGATAAGAAGAGAGACAAATTTTGTCCAAGTGTGAAGTAGACATTGCTACACAGACTTAAATCCACTAACTCAAAGCAAAACTATTGTATAATCCTAGGTATTTTCCTGCAGGAAAGGTGTGACAATATATTTATTCGTAGGGACTTCATCAGTGAAGCTTGTTATAACATGTGCCTATTAATTGTTTTGAGAAATGTGATGGAAAAACCATGGGAACCATTGGAAAACTGTTCCTGGAACCATCTTAATAACAGCATCCTGGTTCTGGAAGGTGGGGGGTACTCTTCTGCTGAAGTCAGCTTCACAGTGCTCAGTCCTCTCAGGACCAAACACAAGGAGGGTGTATTTTGTGGGTAATAAAGTGACATGGGAAGGACCAATCCTTACAGAAATTATTACAGGCAATGTATTATTAGATGGTTCAGAGAAGTGGATGATCTCTGAGGGACAGAGTTTAGAGGAAAAGCTGTTATATTTGGCAAGGAAAAAGTGCTTTTGACACAAGGAAAAACGAATGTTTGAATCCCTAGTTGGTGTTAATTGGTGTGACAGATTTAGTGAAACCTTGAGGTGTAAGTGTGCTCTGCTGGGTCATAAAGCCATTGGCATAGCGTGACTTTTTTCAGCCCATGGCTTGTCAGAACAAAAGAGCTAGTGCAAGCTCTGATGTTTGGTTTGGTTTAGTTTGTTTTGGTTTTTTTTTAAAATGTACTTTAAGAAAGTGTAATCTGAGGCTTCTACCAGACCAATCCCCACAAAGCATTCAGGACTTTTGAAGCAGCAGTGGCAGTAGAAGCAGTACTGAGGGAATCAAAGCTAGACTAGTGAAAATAGCAACTGATACATCCCTGCATTTCTAGTGTGTGTATGCTCAGGCTCGCTGCAGCAGTAGCAACGCAATACAAGCTAGTTGGGTATAGAGTGTGCTGCTAACAGTTTTTAAAAAGCTTTCATTAAGTCGTATATTGCTAAGGTGCTATCATGCCTAACAGCTTAAACAAAGACACAAGAAGTGACACTGACCTTCAGAGGCATGCTCATGTCAGATCACATGGGCTTGTGCAGCAGCCTTCTGAAGCCGCTCAGCTTCATTTTCACATTTAAAGGAGAAAACCTCATGGTTCCTGCCTGTGTTTCATAAAGAATACTTTGGTGGAGTTGTTGTGGCTAGCTGTAAAGCAGTGGGAGTCTGTCTGCACTTGTAGTACACGTTCAATCAGTTGAAAATTAATGTGGAAGGATGCAGGAGGATTGCATGCACACCCTTCAGCTGCTGTAACAATTACTTGGGCCTACCTAATCTGCTCACTGGATTTTTATTGAGCAATGCTTATGGCGAGAGTGGCACAGTGCTAGTAATTTTAGTTAGTTGGTTGTTGAGACTCCATTGAGTGGTGCAGCGGTAGCTGCACAGTGATGAAAGGAAGTTTGATTTGTGAGATGGTACACGTTAAATAACACGTGTGTGCTGTCTGCATGTGCGTGGTTCAAGTACAGCCACTAAACCTTTAAAAAGTCAGTTGGCTCGCTTTGTAGATTGGGGTCTGTAGCGTTTATTTTTCTCTGCTTTGTTTCTTCCTTGGTTATGTTTCCTCAGGCATCTATCAAGCTCCTCCTGTCTGAGACTGTTTTGATGACCTTTTGCTGGTGAGGCCTGGTGACCCTCTGCTGCCCATGCTGGCAGTAGGCGAGGCTGTGGCCAGTGCAGCCCACAGCCGCACCTTGGCCCCAAGCATGTCAGGTTTACATTTTTCAAAGAAGATTTAGAGAAACAGTTTCTCTGCATCCCAAACTAGCTCAGTTTGCAAACTTAGTAACCTGTGTTTATTTATTCTTTCCAGAAACAAGTAACTTTTTTGCATTTCTTGCAGTCATTAACCATTCTTTCTATCCTGACCAGTGATAAATAATGTTACACAGTTGATCAATTCAAGTACATATTTACGTATTAGTAATATAACAAGTGGAAAAACTGAATATATGGCTATTTTTCTTTTTAGATGATACATCAGCAGCCTAACCCAGGTATACATTATGAATATATAATTCCAGGAGACAATGTCATTAGTCCTCAGTTGCTTGCTCACAGGAGGCCAGGTAAAATGCCACTATTTCCTATTATTCCACAGATTTTTTCTACCCGTTAAGCTAATGGAGAAATTTATGCTATTAAATTAAGTGTAAATGCTGCCATTGGTGTGATGAGGTGCAGAGCTTCACCTTACATGTGAAGATAGAGAAGTCTGCATAGGTTTGGTAACTTCAGTGAGTTAATACTGGCAGGGATTTTACAACAACAGTTGTAAAACACCAGTTGTGTTGCTAAAATGTTAGCCATGGCTTTGCATGCACTGGAGTGTTGTAACTATGTCTCAAAAATGAAATAGAACATGATTTTTCTCTTCAGAGCGTGAAATAATTTAAAACAACCCTTCACGGTTTCTCTTTCCTCTCCTGACTGGAGAGAATCAAGCACAAAACTGTTGCCTTCCCAAGGCAGAATCTGGACAGCTCGTGCTCCTCACTGAGCTGTGTATCTGTGCTGTGTGCACTGGTATGAAGTTCTGAAGGACAGCAGAAAATTTGCCAGCGAGTTTGGTCCTACTTTTAACGTTTGTGACTTGCCTTGACAAATTTCTAAGTGTCTGCAGTCTGTTTGTAATGAGGAGCAGCTGTGCTGTGACAGGAGGAGACACAGAATACAGAGCATGGTACAAAAATCAGAAAAGCTTTGGGAAGTTTTGGTACTGGGTGTGTTTGGAGATTCTTCAGATATTAATGTATTTGCTGGCTGATACTTGATTGCCTTAGTTTAAAACAACACAATCTTTGCAAGACATCATTAGGAAGTCTCTGCATAGCAGATTAAGGCTGCATTCAAGTTTCACGATGCTCCAGTTGTGATTATTAGTGGGTGAAAACACAGACTGATTTTTGCAAGTGAGGCTCATTATTTTACTTTTTTTGTTATTGTCCATCATCAGGGGAGCCCTTGAATGGTCAGTTAGGAATACCAGAAAGTACACATCATGAGGATGAGGGTTTGCATAGGGAGACAGATGCTCTCACTGGACAGTCAGTTGGAACTTTTCCAGTTGTTCAGCCAGGAAGATTTCCTTCTCATCAGCCAGGAAACCAGGTGCCTGCTTTGCAACCACCAAGACAAAACCGAGAACACAACTGGAAACAGATTGGAAAAACCGAGTGCACTACTACATGTGGGAAAGGTAAGTGCTTCATACACCATGCATAGAAAATAGATGACACATAGGAGGGTTCCAGCGTGGGAGAGGAGAAGTGTGGAGGGAAGAAGCAGTGTGACTGTTCAGCAGCTCTTGCATGCACGAAACATTCCTGGACCTGGTGTTTTCTGTTGACTTGCAAGCAAAAGACACATCGGCACATGCGTGCTTGTATTTAAATTAGTAGAATCGACAAAATTAAAAATATGAAATACAAAGTATGTCAATTGAAAGGGAATGTATGGTATTTGTTTCTGAAAGGAAATATTTCAGGATTTTATGGCAAGCTGCTCTTTCTCACTCCCTTGATACACAGCTGCTTTCCTAAACATTCCTTGGCATTCTTTACTCTTCCATTTGGCCGCTCCAGTTATGTCAGCTACACCTTCAGTGCTTTTTGTGTCTTTGTCAGTGGTTTTCTGATCTTTACTGGAAGGTTTCACAGCGATTCCATCAGCCATGTCTTTGCCTCATTGAATGCTGCTGGAACAACAACGTGACTTCAGAAAACAAAGGTTTTCATAGGGAAGAAGCTGGAATGAAGAGGGTTGAGAAGGGACTTGTAATTAGCTTTTGGGATGTGATAGGCAGACTACTTTAAGCTTGCCAGGTTAATCTTTGCCGTAAGACATTCACGATTACCACAGATTCAGTAATCCATAGTACAAGCAATTATTGGAATTTGTAATAATAAGTTTTTGTGAAAAAAGTTAAATCCTTTGTACTGTACATCATCACCCATCACCACACCTAAAAATCACAGAGCTTTGAAAGAAAGACGTACCAGTGAGGGGACTCAGCTGACTGTCACCAGTTCATATGCATTAGGAACATTTGCTTCCTAATGAGTTTGAGAAGACACTTTGTGAACTTGGTCCAAGGCCAGATGAGTGTCCATGTTATAGCTACAGACAGAGCTAAAAAAAATCTAGCTATATTTATACCAGTCAAAATTGCTTGCCAGTATATTGAGAAAAAATTTTCCTCGAAGAAATTACTGCAAAAGTGTTAGAGCTAAAATGCAACCTATAGAAGCCAGCAGACTTTTTGATGTCAACCTTTTGTGGAGAAAAGGAGGGAATGTAAACCAGAATTATTTTGGTTGGCATTTAAATACACTGTGTCTTTAATACGAGTCATATGGGCAGAATCCCTAATTGCACCTGGTTATTGTTTGGCAGCAATCAATGAGTATTACCTGCTGAGTGCCTGGATTATCATATATGTGGTGAATTTTAGTGTCCAAATTAGGTAATTTATGATGCAGCTGCAGGAACACATCAGGGTAAATGTATTCTTTCTTTATATTGTATAAGTCTTGGTTGTATTTCCTATAGACCTTATGGACGTTTGAAAGTAGTTCTTGCCAGAGATCTGGTAGCTATTGGCAGTGATATCAATGAAATCTGAACCAAAATGATGATAGCAAAATTGTGGGAAAACAGAATTTAAAGGATATCTTTCAGCCTCCTGTACAGCTTAAATTTACTCCATGAAATTTAGCAAGATAACTGTCAAAAATTAGTATCTCCTTTCCTGTTATTTGGAAAGTATGTGCATGTTCTGATCAAGTTAAATTCAAAAGAAACTGGACCTTGAGAGCAGGATCTTGACACTGTTGAGACTGTATGAACATTTCTTGTGATCTTGGTGTGAGAAGCCTGTGTGAATCTCTGATGCCCTTGAGGCATTTCAAGTCAAACTAGGTTATATAGGCTGATAAAAAAAGAAATAAATCTTGTACTATTTAACATTTTGTTTTCATTTTGTATGATTCAGTATAGAATCACAGAATTATGGAATGGTTTGGGTTGGACCTTAAAGCTCATCCAGGGGCAGGGACACCTCCCACCAGCCCAGGTTGCCCAAAGCCCTGTCCAACCTGGCCTTGAACACTGCCAGGGAGGGGGCATCCACAACTTCCCTGGGCAACCTGTGCCAGGGTCTCACCACCCTCACAGGAAAGAATTTCTTCCTCATGTCCAGTCTAAATCTGCCCTCTTCCAGTTTAAAACCATTCCCCCTTCTTCTACCACTACCTGCCCTGGTAAAAAATCCCTCCCCAGCTTTCCTGTAGGACCCCTTCAGGAACTGGAAGGCTGCAATAAGGTGTCCCCAGAGCCTTCTCTTCTCCAGGCTGAACAGCCCCAACTCTCTCAGTTGGTCCTCATAGGGGAGGTGCACCAGCCTTCTTCTTTCTTCTTTTTGCCACGTTTTCCTTTTTTCCGCTTCTTTATTTCTTCATGCAGAAATTTAGATTATAGATGCTCTCTGATTTTTTTTTTCCCAAAATGAACCTGTGAAAATGAAATAATGGTAGGAAATTTTAAGTTGGAAGAAGAAAGAAAAAGTATTGTTGTGCTACCTAAGGAAAAGGAGAGGATAAATAAACAGTTTTGATGAAAAGCTGAGAGATTTCAAGGTCACTTTTCAGTAAAACTTTGGCTTGGGAAGAAAAAGACTGTTAGCAATGTTTTTAAAAGTGAAAATGCTTCCCATGAGAACTGTCACCAGCTCTTGCATCAGATTTACATTTAAGATGACTGAGCAGACAGATCTGCTAGAATCTACTTAATCTTCTGTGAGCACAGCCTGTGCCTTAAAACTGTTATCGACACCTTGGGAATTACTTGGGATATCTAATTTGTTATCAGTCATAGTAGTGTGTTTGTTACCTTTTTAAAGAATCAGAAAAGGAGTTAGAGAGTGCAAACTGCTGATTTTTTTCCTTAGATTTCAGAAAATATAATAGCTTTTTCTGAAGTATTAGTATGAGTTAGCTGGTAAGATACAAAGCCTTACTTTTGATAGAATTAAATTCTTAAACAAATATAACTTTGTAATTTTAAATTTTATATCCTGAAATGTAAGTGTGCCAACCAATCATTAATATCAACTATCTCCACCCATGTTTTATTTAAAGTCATAAAATCATAACTTAAAGTTACTACAGATCTCAAGTGCACTATTTATTTGAATAAATGGCTGAATGTATTTGTCTCCTTTTTTCCTAGTTCTTGATTACTTGTGTAAATTACCTCTTGGTTTTGTGACAAAGGAAATTGATTTCAGTAAACCCGGGATGAGATCTTTGAATTGTTAATTTCAAAATATAATAATACATTTTTTAAATTATTTAGCTGTTACCATTAAATCTGTAGAGGTTTTGAGCTCCAGGAAGTAAAAAATGTGGAGTGAATATACCACAGATCTTAAGACAAAGACTGTGAGTTCAAGTTGATAATTAGAAATGGAAAGCTGGAGAAAACTGGTCTTCAGTCCAGTGCCCTAAGACTTGCAGTGTCAATAATCTTACGAATCAGTGTCACTGACTGTGCAGGCTTTAGTTAACCCACGTTTGAGGTATATAAGCTTTAACTGCTACAACCTAGCTCTTTTTCTACGCTCTTTTTAGACATAAATGCCAACAGAGATGCAGCTGAGTTTTCTGTGCAAATTGCCTAGGTTTTCTAGGCAAGATGGGACTTTTTTCCCTTTGACTCAGAGGCATGGCAGTTTTGGTTTTTGTAAATTTGCAGACTTATATTTTGATCTAAGGAAAAGAGAAGTCTATTTTGCAGAAATATGAAGTTATTGTACTTGTAACTTCTGCCCTGCTTCTTCTTATCTTGTCAGTAGCATGGAAAAAACCCACTTTTCTGTAATCTTTCTGATGCCTGTAGAGACACTGTTGTATAGGGTGCGTTCCTGAGATAGACCGGTAGCTTTCCTAGATAAACATAGGTTTTCCAGACCTATTTCCAGTTCTATTGAAAAAGTGCTTGCTTAAACCACTTGAATTTTGGTTTTTATCTCATTCTGTTTCTGATTTCAAACACTGAGAATTAGTCATTCATGACTCTGTCTTCAGGTTGTGCACTGTATTTCCCTAAATTCTGAAGTATATTGTTAATTTCAAGGCCAGTCAGTATAGTGTTACCTTAAAAATATTGCCTTATTCAGAACGATCACACATCATCCTTTTGTTTCAAAGGCAAAATGACAAACAGGAAATCCGAGAAGGAAAGCATTCTAGGAAAAGTTTGTGGGAAGAAGTGTAAACTGTATATCTGCTTGTGTGGTTGAGAAGCATTCCACTTGTGTTTGTTTCATTCAGTGGAAGAAAGTTAGGTGTAACCTAAGCAAAGTGTTTCTTTTTCAGTTCAGAGTTAATTTTCCTGTTTGTGATTTCTTTATCTGCGTAACTCAATATCTGCACTAATAAGGCTTCAGTACCAAGAAATAATTAGTGATTTGGAACTACTTGTTTGTTGGATAGCCTAAAACATCTAAAATCACTGCATTTTTAAGCCTGTGGGTCTAGATTCAAGTGGCTGAACTGGCAGTTGTGCGTTGTACCTTGACCATTTCTCTTTGGATAAGCCCTGTTTTACTTGTAACCAAATGACTCCTGTTACTATGGGAGTGTCCTGTGCCATTGCTGTACCATAGTGGGAGGAGGGACTCCTGCCGCTTTACATGGTCTAAACATGCTTGAGAGAGAATCAGCAGACTTCTGTGCTGTCTGAAAAGAACTAAAAAGAGTATTTCTCCTAGTCTTCCTTTTGCTGTTTATGTACTTTTAGAGTTGCCTTTCACATCCCTTGCCAGATTCAACTCCATGTTAGTCTTGCTTTCCTAACCCCTCCCTGCACAATCAGACAGCATCTCTGTACTCCTCTGGGATCACCTGCCCCTGCTTGCACCTCTTATACTTCCTTTTTATGTTAGGTTTAGTTAATAGCTCTTTGCTTATCCATGCAGGCGTCCTGCCACCTTTGCTTTATTTCCTGGTTGTTGAGATGGACCTTTATTGAGCTTGGAGAAGGTGATCTTTGAATAGCAACCAACCCTCCCGGGCCCCTCTTCTCTCTAGGACTTTATCCCATGGGATTCTTCCTAGCAGATGTCTGAAGAGTTTGGGTTCGCTCTTCTGAAATTCAGGGCTGCAGTCTCTCTTTTTGCCCTGGTTCCTACTCTTAGCAACCTGAACACTACCACTGCAGCCAAAGCTGCCCCCGATTTTCACATCCCTGACTTTTTCTTCTTTGTTTTATGTGTCAGGAAGTTTGTTAATGTACTTTTCACTTACCAAATACAAGTAGGCATGGTAGCACCTTGTGCTTTGTCATCATTTTGATAGTCAATTTGCAGTGGTAATAGAAGTAGAGTTCTGTCTTTCTGCTCTATCATGAAAATTATTTAAAGACCGAGCATTAAATATGGAGAGTAGGAATTCTTAGTGAGTCTGTAGTCCACAGTGATGTTTAACCTGTAAGCTTTACTTTAGGAATCTTGTCAGAAAACTGGTAAAGTGGATAATATTCTCATGTGTTTACCCTTCATGTAACTCAAAATCAGGGATGCTCAGTCTCTTTCCAGAAGCACAGCAGAATGACTGCTAATTTTTTCCTCCTCTCAAGCCTGTGTTGCAGCTGCTTGGCTGCATTTTTTTGGATTCCCTGAACACTTAATGTTTGTACTCTCTGCACAATAAAGAACTCATGCAGACCAAGGAGCATGTTTTCTCAGCCTTTCCTACAATGCCATGCTGTACTTTCTATATGCTAAGAACTTCTCTTAATACTACAACTCAAACAGTATAGCCTTCAGCTCTCACATTTGGAAATTTTGGATAAAATCTGCATTTCTTACTGTTAAGCTTTTCCTTACTGCATCAGTGTTGGATGCTACTGTTATGGCTTATACTGCAGAGTCTTTTGCAATGCATCACCTAATTTTCTTCTTCATTTCAGGGTCACAGTACCCAGTTTTCCACTGCGTCAACAGAATCACTCACGAGGAGGTATCTGAGAGTTACTGTGACAGCAGCACCAAACCCATTCCAGAAGAGGAGGCCTGCAACCTCTTCCCATGTCCAGCTTTGTAAGATACACAATTTAAGTCAAGTGAAATAAGCCAATGTCATTGAGGTTTTGCATGTGAAAGTGGCTATTCTAAGTAGGAAACTAGTTTGAACTTCTAAGTAGTACACATTTGTGTCATAAAGTGTACTGGATACTTTTTTCTCAGTTATTGGTGGCTTTCTTCCCCTTCACAGGAAGCAGTAGCATTCAGAGAAGACAAAAGGGTGATTGGCAACAAGTGAGTGTAGTAATTTCTCAGAATTTGTGTGATTGTTCAGGCATGCACACTATGTGTGGTCTCTCCATGGGTAATTTTTTCCAAGTGACAGGCTTCTAGAGGCTCTGTAGGTTATATCACTACACATCGGATCAGTGTGCTGTAGTACCCACAAGATGAGATTAGGCTGATAGTGCTCACAACAGCCTTCTCATAAACATCACCTCTCTTTCCTGGAATTCAGTAGTTCTTCAGCTTAAAGACTGGATTCTGAAGTGCTGGTCCTTGTTTCCAGCACACTGATAGAACCAGCTCAGGTGTGATTGCCTTCTGAAAGGACACTTGCCATCAGGTGACCGTGACTTGCAATTGGCTGAAACTTCTTTTTAATACAAAAACAAAGAAGTAGGTCAGTTCACCCATGGTGTGTATTGAGAAAAGGGTTAAACACAGTTGCCATTATAGCAACTTTATTTCCACAGCTGTATTTTCCATCTCTCTTGTGGTTACATTCTTCAGTTCTTTTCTGAGCAGCAAGCAGCTGCTTGGCATCCCACAGAAGTTTCTAGTGGTGTAAGTGCTGTCACAGTGTTAAAGATGCCCACCAGGCTATTTCCTAGGGCATATCAGATACTGAGGAACTTCTGAAGCCATTTACTTGGAGTTGTCTTCTCTCACCAAGCATTTTTCTCACCTTTCTCTTTCCAACAACTCATTTGTTTACACAGGATAATATCAAGAATATAAACAATGATACATAAATATTTATTAAAAAGATTACGGAGATTTCGCTTATTCTCCATGAGAGTACTTCCCTTATTTGTGTATGTCTTCATGCTTGAAATGAAAACTGAAAGGGGAAAATGACATGTTTATACAAAAGTAATTAAACAAATACAGTGAAATCTTGGGATGATAAGAGGAATATATCTAGGGAGTTTTTTCATCTCTAAAATAAAATGTATTTATTCACTGCTTATCATTTGCTATTTCAGTTTTACTGAGGGATGAATGCCTGGATGCGCGTTATGTGATTTATGTGGTATTGTCCTTTTTTAGAGCCTTTGCTGCGGAAAAAATCACGCAACACATCTCAAAATATTTGGGACATGTCATCAGAGCGATAATATATATCATGAATAGATTCTTAAAAATCCAAACAGGCATTAGTGGCTTAATTAATGTTTGTAATATGTTTGAAAACCATGAATCATGCAGGCTGTGTGCAGGCTCATTATTATTAATCACTAATGGCAGATTTGTCACAAGTATATAATGTAGTCTCCATAAAGGATTAAGTTATGCGTGCAGAGTCTTAAGTATTATTTTGTAAGACTCTGTACCAGCATCCTAATCATGTCATTCGAGTTCTGTTTAGTATCGGAGAAATCTTTACTGAGAAAATATGTCCTCTTTTTTTTCCCCTCTTTCTTTAGCTGGGATATAGGAGAGTGGTCTGAGTGCAGCAAAACATGTGGCCTTGGTATGCAGCATCGACAGATCTTGTGCCGGCAAATGTATGCGAATCGTACCTTGACAGTTCAGCAGTACCGCTGTCATCACCTGGAGAAGCCAGAGACAACCAGCACTTGCCAGCTGAAGATCTGCAGTGAATGGCAGATTAGGACAGAGTGGACTTCAGTAAGTATGACTGATTGAGGCATAAAACCTCAGAAAATAACATGTGTTTTCTTCCAGGTATCACTTATCAAACGTGAAATTTGTTTTTATTTGAAACAGGGAAGTGGAATGTGAAAAGCCTTGGAAATATGTGAATCTTAGTTTAAGAAAACCCTGCTTGATTGTGACCATTTACTGTTCATGACCAGAAAGAGTGATTGCATAGTAGAAAACACACAGATATTTGTGTACAGAAGTATGCAAGCTTTCTGAGCAATGTTGTTTTTTTGAATGGTATATGAAGTACAGTTGGGAGAGTCCTGATAGGTTTGCCTGTGGTGGTAAACTTACTGCTCTTTCTCATGGTTATAGGAGTTATACAAGTTATAACAAGGGGAAATGGCACCAAGCTGTGCCAAGGGAGGTTCAGGTCAGAGATAAGGAGGAAGTTCTTTACTGAGAGGGTCGTCAGAAGCTGGAACAGGCTGCCCAGGGAGGTGGTGGAGTCACCATCCCTGGATGTATTTAAAGAGCGGGTAGATGAGGTACTTAAGGATATGGTTTAGGGGGTAGACAGGAACAGTTGGACATGATGATCTCAGAGGTCTTTTCCAACCGAGCGATTCTGTGATTCTGTTATTTAGCCTTACGTAAGTATTAAGGATAGAGTCAGTAGTTGCTGTTACTGTAGTTGGTTTGAGGCTATGCCAAGACTTGCAGGTAAATGTGGACAGTACAGTTTTGTGCTTTAATTTCTGTGTTGCTTAGAAAAGGTTTGGCCAACCTGACAACCATCCTAGACACTTTCATGGCCATTGCATGAAAGAGAAAATACTCTGCTGTATTAGATGTAGTGATATCTAAAATCACTACGGGCAAAATATGTCAGCCTTCTGTTCAAATACCAAGAGTTCATTTTGATAAGGTGCAGCATGGCCTGTTGAAGAGAGGGTTTAATTTTATGTTTTCCAAATGTATCTTAGTGTACTGTAGAATACTACAGACTGAGAATATGATTTAAAACTACTAATGTGTTTTTATTGCTTATTCCTAGCAATCGAGAATAGTTCTTTA